AAACCCAATCTAGCAATCTGTCTGGCCTGCCAGGTTCCCCACAGATCTGGACATCTGGCAGGAGGCAAATGGCAATTAATGCTGCCACCACTTCCCTACTGTCAAATTTGCAGACCCTTGGGAGGCCCAGCGGGCTGGCTGACATGGTCCCATAAACCAGATTTGGTTTACAGGCTCAGGATTGAGCATTACTGTTTTATCTGGCTTTTTTACAGTACTTTAGCATATGTAACTTTTCTATTACTATAAGGGAAAAAGCAATGTTTTTGCCTTACTTGCAGTTTCATTGAAAGTATTGAAAAATCAGAGGACTGAAATATTATTGAGCTTGTCTGAGATGAGAAGTTTACGGCATGTAAAATTGCTTAATGTATTGTTATAACTAAGCAAAGCAAATACGCGGTTTCACTGTGGCCAAATATGTCTATGTATGTCATCTTCTAGTTCTTCATTCTTGAAATATTGCTCATACTCTCAATCAAACAAGCAAAATATTTTCATTCGAATGTTTCATCTTGTGTTCTAATTTATTTCCTTAATTCCTGTTGATAATTCTAAACATTCCAGGTAGTAAAGTAATTTGTTGATGACTATTTCTGACTTTTTCACTGGTATCAGTGGCAACTGTTGATCCTCTGGACCATGGTGTATGCATAAGTGGTCTAGTCAGGTGCCTGATGAATCCACTTATGGCTGGCAAGGCCAATTCCAGAGCAACACAGCTTGTTACAAGTTTCACAGATCCATGTATTGTCTGAGCTGGAGTCCAAGTTTACAGCACACTGCTTTCTTTTTCACTTTGCTTTCATCCTCTGGATCAAAGCAGCTTCATGTTGTTCTGCACCCAGTACCAGATGTTCTTTCCAGATCAGATGGGATTCCACGTGTTCCTCCCATCTTTCTACATTGATGTGGAATGACTTCATATAATTTTTGCACACATCATTGTACTGCCATAGAGGGTGATCTTACTTTCTAGAGGTGTACAAAATATTCTTGGAGATATGGTCTCCCCCCATTCTCCAGACATGGCCAATCCATGACAACCTCTTCTTGATAGTGGTTTCTAAGTGTGTCAGTCCTGCACACTCCAGCATCTCTCTGTTTGTTTGTCTTCCCACTTCATTTGCAAGGTCTTACACAGACATCTTAGGTGGAAGCTGTTCAAAATCTTGATGTGCCTACCATATATAGTCCATGTTTCTGAACCATAAAGCAGGGATGACAGTGTGGCAGGAGGCTTGGTGTTCCTGCCACTTTAAGAAGCAGGCAGGTTAGCACTGAGGTGGCCTGCAGGCACAGCCAGGATTGATTATGGAGTCAGCTGACTTTGGAGGCAGGCTAGGCTTAGGTGGGATATAAGCCCAGACATGAAAGGAGCCAGCAATAACATCTTGGAGTCTGCTTAGAGAAAACTACCTTAGCAGGATGACTGAAGCTCTATAGTATCAGCTTGGAGAGCACAGCAAGAAGGAATCTGGAGGTTTGGGGAGGGACTAAAGGGGAGGAGGAGGTCCCAAGGTACCTAGGGAGGGGTCTGGAGCCCAAATTGAGAGGCTGAGAATGTGGGACCAGCAAGGGTCCAGGAGCCTATGGGGAGGCTGAGAGTGTGGGACCAAAGGGGGCCCAGGAACCACAGAGAAGGAAGGAAACATCAATGAGGCATGGGGAATGGTGTAGGGATGAAACAGAGCCATGCAATTAGCCCATATGGCAGAGACTACATGCACTTGGTAATCTGGGAAGCCCTGGGGCAGCCTCCCTCCTATACAAGTAACATCAAAGCATGGTGGGAGACTAAAGGGGTCATTTCCCCCAGAAAGTGAGAGCGGGGAATCCAGGGGATTCATAACCAATCCTGAAGAGGCACACTGCCACAGACAGCACTCAAGTCTCATAGATTTGCATCTTTACCTTAAGTACTTAGTTGATAGTTTGGTGTTATTCCATGCATGTTTTTATAATAGCTGGAAATTCATAGCTGCTTTTCTGATTCTATTAGTCTGTTCAGTCTTAACTCAAGTAACAAAAGCCATCAATGGTGCCAAGAGATTTACCCCCGGGAGTGATGTCAGATACTGCCACCCCCCTTGGTACATGATCACAGTGTCCTTGAGACTAATTGTCAACTCAAAGCTCTTGCATGACTCAGAAAATCAGCCCAAGAAATTTTGCAGGGAAGATTTACTGCAGGCAATCAAGGCTACATCATCCATAAACAGGGAATCTCTTAGAACCAGCTCTTCGACTTTGGTTTTTGCTCTAACCTTGCAGTGTTAAACAAATGTTCATCTAATGTGTTTCAAAGATAAATGCCATCAAGCTGTCTTTGAATGCATGAAGAAGTAGGAATGAAAAGGTAGATGTTGAAGGGAACTGGGGCTAAGGCACTCCCTTTGTTTCACCCCCTTATCAGTGTCAAAGGCATTTTGATTCTTTGTTTTCATATACTACAGTTGCCTTTATACCTTGATGTAATGAACAAATGATGTTCAACAGTTTGGGGGGACAACCCAGTTTCTTCACAATAGTGAAAAGGCCCTGTCTGTTGAAGGGGTATAGGCTGTATCAGATTTATGCAAAGAACCATGTCTGTCTGTTGAAGGCTTTCATCAGATTGATGATGGCTATGTACAGTGGTATTCATTTTTCTTGACATTTCTTTTGCAGTTGCTTGACCATGTCAGTGGTGTAAACCTAAACTGGGCATGTGGGGCCTGAGCAAAAGCTGCATTAGCTTTCAGGATAAATTCTTTCACCTAGAGAAGGGGTTTCCAACATTTGAAATTAACAGAAAAAGAAGCGGGCATGAATATGAATATTAAAATTTAGAATTCAGAATCCTGGGTATGCTCATGTGCATAGTTTTATGTGGGGAGGGAGTAGCAAGCACCACTCCATCACTACATCAATCAGACTGACTCAGTCCCATTTTGGTGGCCATTGCATACAGCCTATGAAACTTTTTTTGAAGTGTTGCTTTTCTGAGGTCAATCAGCAGTGACAGCATTTTTAAATGGAATAATGATTTTTTACTGATCGTGAAAATGCATGCTGGCTCTGGAATAAACCTCGGGGGGCGCCATGGCACCCGCAGGCACTGTGTTGGGAACCCCTGACCTAGAGATTCCAGCCTATGGAACACAATGCAATTGGAAACTTTTCTGATGTTCAACAGGGAAATACATCTATAACCATCAACAATCACTTCTATTCCCCTTGTTTTGTATAATTATACAAAACAAGCACCTTTGAAATCTTGTGGTACCACTTCCTCTTTCCAACAGAGCAGTATAACTTCATGGAGTACTCTTGAAGTACTCTGTTGTTGGCACATTTGTAGATTTCAGCAAGCAAGCAGTCATTGCTGGATGCCTTGTTCCCCAGGATCAATTTAATGGCTTTCTGCAAATCTTCTAATGTAGGCTCATTGTCCAAAACCATCATAGCTTTGAACTGTGGTAATCCTTTGAGTTTTTTTGTTTGATTTCAGTCTCAGAATTCCACAGTATTCAGTCCAGTCCTGATGTTGTTTTTGTTTATCAGTGATGTCATTTCCATTTAAGTCTTTCAGTGGATCTGTTTTCTTCATAACTGGACCAATCTCATTTGAAACCTCGGTAAATTCTGTGGCTATCGCTTGCGTCAGCTGCTTTCCAAATATCATTGCAGAGTTTCAGCCAAAAATTTTCAGCGTGCTTTCCAACCTCCTTTTGCATTTCACTTTGAGCCTTTCTCAAATTTTCCAGGGTGATGGTGTTGGGCAATTTACTGTAGATGACTAGTGCTTTTTGTTGTCAACTAGTGGCAGAAGGGTTGGAGAGTTCTCTTCAAATCAGTCTGTATTTTTCTTGCATTTTTTGCCAAATGCTGTTACAGCAGTATTGTATATGTTAATTGTTAAGCTTTACCCCAAAAGTTGTTGATAACTATTTCTGACTTTATCACTGGTAGTAGACAAAATAATTAAGTAGCAGAGTAAGCAACTTATATGTCACATAATACATTGATTTTTTTCTGGTCATTTGCATATTAGGTTTATCAGTAATGAATTAAAAAGGACTTCCTGGTAACCCAAATGGATAAACAGTCGACAATTCTTATAACTATCCACCACTCTTAGTTCGAAGGAGGGACGGGGCTGACCTCAGAGTTTGGTTAGTCTGTTAGCCAGGAACTAAACAGCTCCAGCTGAGAATACTGAATAATCAATTTATTTCTTTATCAGGTTAATTCTTGTATCGAAGAAAACAGTAAAATTAGCTAACCTTCACTTTCAGAGTTCCAACTGAAACAATGCTTCTGGCACAGTGTTTGTAAATCAGAGCTGTTAGCATGTGTGAAATGGTATACACCTACTGTAAAATGAGCTGATTTTTATAGGCCATAAACAGATGTTCAAGATTTGTCAGTGATGTGGGAAAGACACTGCTTTTACACATATATCTAACAGCAGTAGGATTGAAATTACTCCCAGTCAGTCATTTTGTAAATTAAGTAGGAGCTGGAGGAGTAAAGAATCTCTTCAATATAACTTAGTTCATTTAAAAATGGTTTGTTTAATTCAGTACAAATATAATTAATCAAATATAAAAGAAGGTTATTGATAAATATATATATATCCTTGTATAAATTAAACAGGATTTGACTCCAAATATTTTTTAAAAGCTATATAAAGATATTTAGCTGAGTCTTGTTTTAAGATAAGAGCTCTTTCTCACAGGTGAAATTAGGGCCCATGGGAATTAATAGGACTTTTGACATTGACCTACATTAGGGTTAATTTGTTTTTTTCCTCCAGAGTTGCAGGTCACAGTTCCTAAGAACACGAGGGTGTTTTCTTTTCAGTGACCAAATAAAAATGCTATCAAAATACCACTTCATTTGTTTGGAAAAAAATAACATATGCCAGGTTGTATGCTTAGTAGAGTGTAACTGTCTCTTAAGGTAATTATTACTGACTGGTAAATTAATTTTATTATTTTACTTCCCTTGTTTAGATGGTTTTTTGGCTCAATCAAACGAGCAGATGCAGAGAAACAACTGCTATACCCTGGAAACAAGAAAGGAGCTTTCCTAATTCGAGAAAGTGAAAGTTTAAACGGAGAATTCTCACTTTCAGGTATTAGTTTTCATCTGAAGAAATGTTTTAAGAGCTCCTCATTTAGCCTATTTTTTTTCTGTCTTCTCAAGTGATAAACTGTGTGAATGAGAGTGGAATTAAAATCTGTAATAATCTCTTCTTCCCAGGAGATATATAAAAGAAAAGTTGGTAAGAACCAGTAGGCTCTACTTTTTTATTTTATAACTCTTTATTTATTAATATGCACAAAATAGAAATTAACTTTTTTGTACTTATTGTTTTTCATTTTTCCAGCTGCCTTGAAATTGAACTGTTTTCATAATTAAAAACCACAAGTATATTACATTTGTAGACTAATCACTTATGGGTACACACAGTGAAAATTAAACACATGTTGGCAGATCTAAGTGGTTATGAAAACAGAAGAACTTCTGTTACAATATGTCTTTGGAATTTATATTGATCTTTTATGACAGAGGATTGCATAGCTACAATTAGAAACATGTGATCAGATTTCAGCAAAAAAGTTAGTTTCATCTCTGTTGGTGAGTTTGTTTCTTTGTTCACTCAAAGTCCATTATTCTGGCTTCAAAACATAGAACTGGCTTCATGATAAAACTCTTACATAAAAGACTGGACTACCAGAAAGGGAACAAAATGTTTTACATGCACACAGGCACACACATGTGCACACACATTTTGTTCTGAAAGATACTTGTCTTAATGAGTATCATTGTTCCACGATGGATTTTGCCTGCTACAAGTCAGACATTGCTCACAAACAGTCTAGTGATTCTTTGGGGGTTTTTTTGCTTTGGGTTTGTTGCAAATACTTCATTTCATAGTAAAGTATTTTGTTGTTACTGGAGTGGATTACAGCATAGGTTGAGGAAGAAGACGGTAGGCTAATTTCACTGTGACACCATGGGAACTTCATCCACGAATGTTAGCCTGCTGACAGGATACAGGATGATCAAGGTGGAGGGATCACCCTCCCATAGTTGGAGAAGATCTTGTGGGGGGAAAACCTAGAGAGGCTGAATATCTACAAGTCAGCAGGACTGGATGAACTACACCAGAGACTGCTAAAATTGGCCATCGATATTGGCCTGAAAAATCTCTATAGGTGCACCCCTAGTGACCACTTTTCCCCATAACATAATATCTTCTGCAAGCTTGGCCAGCACGCTTTCCACATCCTCATCTAAGTCATAGATAAAGATGTTGGACAACATGGGGTCAAGAACTGAATCCTGTGGGACACCACTGGCCACCTCCTGCCAAGACGATACAGACCCATCCAATAACATGCTTTGGGTTGATCCCTTAGCAATTTCCCAATCCACCTGACCATGGACTCTGCCAGCCAACAATCCCCCCCCCCCCATTTTTTTTATAAGAGCATCATTGGGGACCATATAAAAGGTCTTTTTAAAATCCAAGTATATGACATCAACCGCATCTCCCACATCTAAGTGGTTCATTATTTGATCATAGAAGAAGACAAGATTGGTCAGACATGACCTGCCCACAACAAAACCACATTTGCTATCCTTCAGCATCCTGCCTTTTGCTAGTCTTAAATGGACTTCTTGATAATTTTTCAAAAATTTTACCCAGCATCGAGGTCAAACTGATAGGCCTATAGTTTCCCAATCCTCCCTCTTTCCCTTCTTAAAAATTGGCACCGTGTTGACCCTTTTCCAGTTTTCTGGGACCTCTCCTAAGCACCATGAGCCTTCAAATACCTTTGCCAATGGTCCTGCAATGACTCTATTCAATTCCCCCAGCGCTCTCAGATGTAGTCCATCCAGTTCAGTTAACTTTTCTTCCTTTCCCCCAATAAAAAATACTTTTATTATTAATATAATCTAAGAGACTGTCAAAAAGTGTTTTTTATCCTCTATAAAAAAACTCTCCAGCTGAATGAAAAAAGGAATAAGGAATATAGTTAAACAGGGGCCTTATTTAATGCTTTGTATCTAAACTCTTATCAGGTTTTTGTCTTCCTTTGCATTTTTATAAAAGCATTAAAAAGTGTAATGGTGGCTGTTTGCCATGAGAGCAAGCAGGTTGTGGTATCTGTGTGTGTGACACTTAAAATTTTGTTTAATTGTATAAAGTTGTATAATGACAGGGTTATGTTAATCTCTTTAGCTCCCTGGCCCAAGTATTGCATCTGAAGTAACTAATCAAAAACCTGTGAAAAAGGTTTCTTTCCAAGCCCCCATGATTAAAAAAATAAGAGTTCCCTGCTAATTCCTCATCAATGCATGTAAAATATAAGAGACTCAAAAACAGAGGGGTATTCTAATGGTCTTTATTGGAAATGGAAATGAAATGTTCATTTTAAAAGATGGGCATTTTTAAAGATGTCATTGTGGAAAAAAATCATATTTCATAAATGGCAAATAAGAATTAGAATTAAAAGAGGTTGAACTAGGAACACATCAAATTGTAGATAGGCCAGTGGGATGCATTGTTATCAATTAAACTGGTTGACATTTTTAAAACATATATTTCCATTTAAAAAATGTACATGTTGTAGGAGAAACTTTTATGTTGATATCTCCATCATCTGGTGTAAAATGTATTAAATTTTAAACATGTTGGTGCCATTTTTAGGCATCGTCTCTTTTTAATTAAAAGGTATAATTTAGATGTGATCAATTTAATTGAATGTCATTGCCAATAATAGCAGGATTCTCTTCCTTTTTTTTTCTTCCCTGGGATAATGGCATCTACAAGATAGATTGTATTAAATGGTAATGTAATCTTGTTCTCTGAAAAAAAAAGAAACCAACCAGATATATTATTACCATGTATTATTTTATACGTAAAATTAAAACACAGATTTATTTGTTATCAAACCTTCAATAAAAGAAGCCCTACCTTTCTTCAGTAAATTGCATGGATATAGGGTATTCAGGATGTTTAATGCTTATCTGCCTTCAGGTTTCAGTCTAAAGGTCACCCTGTCCCTTTCCATAGGGATAAGCATGTGCTAGTATAGGGGTAGGCAAAATATGGCCTGTGGGATGGATATGGCTCATGGAAGCTCTTTATCTGGCCTGTGGAGGGTCTCTCAGTCTCACCTGGCCTAGGCAGTGTTTGGCTGTGGCATGTTCTGCCACACCCTGACACGCAGCAGGGCTGGGGCAGCTCCGCAGCTGAACTGCCTTTCTAGGCAGCCCAGGCAGCAGTGGCTCCTTCCAGATGCTACTGCCACTGGCCCAGGCCCCACGGTACTGGTGGTAACCCGTGTGCACAGTCCTGACCTGGCCCGCCTCATGCCTACTCCAGACTCACCTGTGCTGGGCAGCAGTGGCGGCCAGGCAGAAACTGATGCTCAGCACCGGGGAAAAGTGGTCCCTCCCCCTCACCATTGCCGGATCCTTCCAGCTGCAGGCACCCAGAGCCTGCACCGGGCTGTCCTGCATCTCTGCCACTGTCACTACCAGCTCCAGGTTGCCCAGTGGGGCAGTGGTGAGAGCGCAGAGCCAGACACAGGGCAGCCTGGGTGCAGGTTCTTGGTGGCTGCATTAGGAAGAGTCTGGCAGCATTGAGGGGGAGGGGATTCTTTTCCCCCATGTTGAACAACAGTTTCTGCCCTGCCACTGCCACTGTCTAGTGCAGGTGGGTCTGGAGTAGTTGTGGGGTGGGCTGGGTTAGGGCTATGTGCGCAGGTCCCCACTGGTACCGTGGAGTTGGGGCCAGTAGCAGCAGCATCTGAAAGGAGCTACCACTGCCTGGGCTACTTTGAAAGGTAGATGCCCCAGCCCCTCTGTGTGCCCAGAGGTGGCAGGAAGTGCCATAGGCAGGTGATGCAGCGCAAGTGTGGGGTGGGCTGTATGCATGGATTCTGGCTGATCTCCAATTGGGGTGAGTCCAGAGTGGGAGTGGGGTGGGGCTGGGGCTGCATGCTCATGGTGGTGGTGGGGAGGTGCCGCAGGGCATGTAGGCTCCAGGCTTTTACTAGATGGGTGCTGACTAGCTCAGGGGGGCATATGCAGGGGGCTCCCATGCATACCCCACCAAACCCATAAACTCTTCCCTGAAAACCCCACAACCACATCCTTCCCCACACACAATCACACACCCCACAAACTACACTCAACCACACCCTCCTCCACCCCCCCAAACTCCACCCCCGTCTACATACACTCTCCCCACACATCCACACACACCCCACCACACACATGTACTCTCCCCCCACCCCACCATGTAAGCCCCACTCTTCTGTTTAGAAAGGTTTGCAAAGAAATGTAAAAGATAGCTGCAGACAGTGGACACTAGTGGGGAGGGAGTTACTGCTGCCCCTCCCCTATAGCTCTTTCCAAGTCTCCTGCCCAGATCAGGGAGCTGGGACTAGGAGCTCCCTGCTTCTGGGGCAGGGGGACATTGTCCTTGCCCCAGCAGGAGGCATCCCCTTGGGGCAGGGAGCAATGTCCCAGCCCTGGCCAGGAGATGGTAAGGGGTGTGTGATACGGTCAATATTCAATTCAACATATTTAATAACTTCTTTGCCTCTGTCTTCTTCAGTAAGGACCAGAACTGCCACCTCCCT